ACTACCACTACTACTACTACTACTACTACTACTACTACTACTACTACTACTACTACTACTACTACTACTCCCTCCTCCCGTTTCCCTCCTCCCTCCTCCTCTCTCCTCCTCCCTGATCCCTCCTCCCTCCTCCTTCCTCCTCCCTTCTCCCTTCCCCCTCCTCCCTCCATCCTCCCGCCGCCTCCCGCCTCGCGCCCCCCCTCCCGCCTCCGTCTTCATTCCTCCCTCTTCCCTCCTCCCTCATCCCTTTTCCTCCTCCTTCCCTCCTACCTCCTCCCCTCCTCCTCCTCCTCCTCCTCCTCTCCATCCTCTCTCCTCTCCCTCCTCCCTTCCTCCCTCCTCCTCCTCATCCGCCTCTTCCTCCTCCTCCTCTCTCTCCTCCTCCTCCTCACTCCTCCTCTTCCTCTTGCTCCTCCTGCTACTCCTTCTCCTCCCTCCCCTCCTCCTGCCTGCTTCATCTCTTTCTCCTCCTCTCCGCCTCCGCCTCTCCTCCTCTCCTCCTCCTCCTCTCCTCCTTCTCCACCTCCTCCTCCTCCTACTTCTTTCTCCTCCTCCTCCTCCTCCTCATCTATCTCTTCCTGCCCTCCTCCTCCTCCTCCTCTCTCTTCCTCCTCCTCCTCCTTCTCCCTCGCTCCTCCTCCTCCTCCTCCTCCTCCTATTCTCCTCTCCTCATGCTCCTCCACTCGTCCCTCCTCCCCTCCTCATTCTCCTCTCCTCTCCTTCTCCTCCTCCTCCTCCTCCTCCTCCTCCTCCTCCCTCCTCCTACGCCTCCTCCCTCCTCCTCCTCCTCCTCCTCCACCTCTCTCCTCTCATCCTCCTCACATACCTCCTCCCTCCTCCTCCTCATCATCCTCCTCGTCTCCTCTCTCCTTCTCCTTCTCCGTCTCCTTCCTCCTCCCGTCCCCCTCCTCCACCTCCTCCTCCCCCTCCTCCACCTCCCCCTCCTCCACCTCATCCTCATCACCAGCAGCAACATCATCTTCATCATTAAGAGCATATTCATCGTCAGCATCATCATCATCATCATCATCATCATCATCATCATCATCATCATCATCATCATCATCATCATCATCATCATCATCATCATATTCATCTTCATCTTCATCTTCATCTTCATCATCATCATCATCATCATCATCATCGTCATCATCATCATCATCAGCAGCAGCAGCAGCATCCTCATCATCAATTTCACCATCATCACCATCATCACCATCATGATCTTTATCCTTCTCCTCTTCGGGTCGCCTACGGCCCCGGGGGAAACCGTGCAGCCTATAGGCCCATCAGAGAATGTTATAATAAGATTTTGCGGTCTGCACGAACTGCTCTTAGAACGTTTCTGGCTGGGGCTGTATTGTTTTAACACATCGGCCTCACGTTCCGAGAACCGTTTTTGTTGTGATTAGAGCACCTTTGGGTTCTGAGAACATTCCGTGGTTGGCGTATAGGAATGCCGGAACGGTCGATCCCTGCTCAAGTTCCCAGGCAGCCGCGCTAGGGGGGGAGGCTTTGGGCAAGAGCAGCAGGACACGCACCCTGCGTCTGAGCGATACTCGTCGTCTAGGTGCTCAGTACGAACAGCCGATTGTTGTTAGAGCCTGGGTAGACTTGAAAAAAAGGGAGGAAACAAATGAGAAGCGTGAAGACGGGCAACACAAAGTCGGGGGTATGTAGGTGCTCTTCGGGAATTGTGTTGGCGATCACTCCCGGGCGCATCAAGGACAAATCAGCCCCTTCGCACTCTGGCGACCATGAATTCACTGCGCCGCTTGCATGAAGGATGCGCCTCGAAAGCCACTCATCCGGACGCAGTCGTGATTCGAGGCTGCCTTCCCCACCCGCAAGGCGTGATGTTGTAGAAAGTTGTGAATTGTGTGGCTGCCCACGCCAGGCCACTCCACCAGACGCCGCACCTGTGGCACGTTGGACGGCGCAGGGGGGGCAGGTCAGCTCTGCCGACACCCCGCACGGCGTCGGGCCGGGGCTGGCAGGAGGCACACACCCGCCTGCCCCACCCCCCAACCCCCAGCAGGGTGACCTTCCTTTCCTTCCAACCTCCGAGCCGCACGGCTGGCGCGCCGCGCCGACGTGGAGCGGCTAAGTGGGGGCACGGCCGGAGGCATGAGAAATCCTCCTCCTCCTCCTCCTCCTCCTCCTCCTCCTCCTCCTCCTCCTGCTCCCCTCCTCCTCCTCCTCCTCTCCTCCTCCTCCTCCCCTCCTCTTCCTCCTCTCCTCCCTCCCTCCCTCCCTCCCTCTCCCTCCCCCCCCCTCCCTCCCTCCTCCTCCCTCCCTCCCGCCCTCCCGCCCTCCCTCCTCCTCCCTCCTCCTCCTCCTCCTCCTCCTCCTCCTCCTCCTCCTCCTCCTCCTCCTCCCCTCTGTCCTCCTCCTCCTCCTCCTCCTCCTCCTCCTCCTCCTCCTCCTCCTCCTCCTCTTCCTCCATGCTCAGGCAGAGGAGCCAGAAAGCTACCACAAGGACAATCGGCCTGCGGCAGCCATGCGTTCCTAGCGACGTTGCTTTTTGATCCGTCGATGTCGGCCCCGAGCCGTTCCCTAAGCCTTCCTGTCCTCCCTCCCCGGCCCCCTCCCTTTCTTGCGTTCGCCCTTGGGTCCAAGACTCGAGTCCTCCCCAGAGGGACGGGGGGGGGGGCTCGGGGGCGGGCTGGGGCGGGGGGGTTGGCGGACCTCACGTTGGCCACCGCGCCTCAGCTCCCCCACCCCCCAAGTGGGCGGAGCCACCGCCGCCGTTGCCTCGGCCCTGCGGCCCTTCGCTAAAGCGGCCGCGCCCGCGGCCCCAACAGGCAGTCCTCTACGCTTCCCGCTTCTTCCCCTCATCCTCACCCTTTCCGCACCATTCCTCCATCATCTTCCTCAGCTGCAACCTCGTCTTCATTGATTCAACGTCCTCAAAATCAGCAGCATCATCATGAGCAGCATCATCATCAGCAGCAGCATCATCAGCATCATCATCATCATCATCACCATCATCTTCATCAGCATCCTCATCGTCTTCTTCTTCATGATCCTCCTCCCGCACACCTCATCATTCTCCCCTCTTCCATCCTCGTTTGCCCTTTGATCCTCCTTTGTTTCCTCGTCCTGCTGATATGCGGTTTCATGACCACCAGTTGCAACATCACGATTCATGTTCAGGCTGTTTGCTCTTCCTTGCCCGCCTGTCGCTCAACGTGAGTAGCCCAAACCCTCGAGTCCCGCCCTCTCCGTCTGAACGTACTCCTTCGGGGTCTGTCCGTGCCAGTTCTTGAGTAAACCCCGACAGTGCAAAGCAAGCGGGCCCAGGTGGGCGGGTCGAGCGGGCAGGGCATTCCGAAGGCCGGCGGCTTCCGGCTCCCCAGCAGTCGACCCGGCGGACCCTGACGAGCGGGTCGGGCGGCGGACCCTCACAGGCGGGCCGGGCGGGCGAACCCCAACTGGCGTGTCGGGCGGGCGGACACCAGGGGTCCGAGGCGGGAATGTATACACAACCACCGCCTGGACGGTCAGTTTTCGGAGCCTCGGCAGGCGGTGGATATGGACATGTTCAGGCCCGCGGGGGCCGAAACATATCCATATCCACCGCCCGCTAGGGCACCAGGACGTCGGTTCCCAGGCGGTGGATGTGGATAAAAATCCCCGCCCGGCAAGGGGGGCGAGTCGGGCGGGCGGGTTTTTTCAAGGCCATCGCCGCAGCCGACCCTGACAGCCGGGGCGGGCGGGCGGGCCCTGATGGGCGGGCGAGCCCGGGCGGGCGGGCCCTGACGGGCGGGTCGGGCGGGCGGACCCGAAAGGGCGGGTCTGGCGGGTGGGGCATCAATCAAGGACTTGTTCGTAGACGTCTTCGGCGAGAGCGCGATTCCAAAGTATGTTGCGAGGAAGTCCAGCGAGAGCGCGAAGATACAAATCGGGCGAGGCCACGATCCTTGAACACATTGCACGGCACTATCGATGGCGAGCGAGACTTCTGATTGAATTGCCATGACGTCCCTCGCGAGAACACGATGCCCGAGCAGCGAGGGTGCGATGCCTGAATACATCATGAGGAAGTCCCAGGCGAAAGCGCGTTTCTTGAGTAATTTGTGAGGACGTGTCGAGCGATCGCGCGATTCCCGAATAAACTGCGACGACGTCTAGAAGGCGGGCGTCGTCGGTGCTGCTGTAGCTGGAGGCCCAGGGGCCCACACTGAGCAAAAAGACTTCCACTGCTAGGCAATGCGGTGCGAGCGCGAGGGGGGTCACTCCAGCTGAAGACCACAATGGGCACCGGACACAGGGGATCAACAACAATCATGTTTCAGATCAGAGAGTTCAACAACAGCATAACCGTCATCATGATCATCATCATCATCATCATCATCATCATCATCATCATCATCATCATCATCATCATCATCATCATCATCATCGTCACAGCGTCAGCGACATCATCACGATCACCACCACCATCATCACTATCACCATCGCCACCACCACAATCATCATCATAATCATGATCGTAATAATTGTCGCCAGCATCATCAGCAGCAGCAGCATAATCATTATCATCCTCATCATCATCACCACCATCACCATCATCACCATCATCACTATCGTTTCCTCCTCGCACTCTTCAGCGTCCTAGTTGTCATCATCCCCTTTCTCCGCGTCAGGACACTGGCGGCGCGGCTGCTGGGGGCGGTGGCGGAGGCGCGAGTGATTGCATCGAGCGTGTTATGTCCAGGTACGCGAGCATTGCGCTCATGCCCGTTCTCGTCTTCCGCTTCTCTCCGTCGCGTCGTGGAGCGGAGGGCCTCTCGTCATGCCTCCTCCCTCATGACCCCTCATTCTTCTCAGCCGGGGGCGGTGGAGCGTGCCCCTTGCTCCTCCCCAGCCCCACAAAGAGGCGAGGCGACCTCACGAACGGAGCTTGCTTGGCAAGTCCTGGCCATGTGCACCCCGTCTTCGGGGATCGCGCCGGGCCTGCAGGCCGCCACCAGGGGCGTACGCAAAGCAGCTGTCCGCGCTGACCTGGGCAGGCTGCGAGAGCTGTGATCAGCGTCAGTGACAGCAGTCTTGCATGTGTTACATGTGTGTGTGTGCCAGATCCCTGATCGCGCTTCCACTTCACCAGCTGAAACCCGTCAGCCCTGCTGCCGCCAGCCCCCCAGCCCCGCCGCCGCCGCCGCTGGCTCCCTGGCGCCGGCCCCGCCACGCACCCGGGCTGCTCTGAGCGGGCCCAGTTCCTCTCGGTCCCCTCCCTGGCCGGCGCCGTGTCGTCCTCTGCCCTCCCTCCCGCATGGTGGCTGAATTCGCCCAACGTTGCCCCAATTCGCTTCGCTCGCCAGCACAGTCCCTCTGCCTAGCCGCCGACGCAACAAGTGCGTGTATGTGTGTGCCAGATCTGTCACGCGTACACCTCGCTCAGGTCGCCAGGTAAGGAGTCTCGCAAGGCCGTGCCCTTTCCAGCCGACAGGGAGAAGCGAAGCTTGGCCGCGTCCATCGGAGGAGATCGGGGGCCAGAGCAGATCTCGACTCGACGATCTGTGGCTGTGGAAGTCAGAGCGGCGAAGAAGGAGGGGAGGAGGGAGGGGCGGAGAAGGAGGGGAGGCGGAAGGGAGGGAGCGAGGAAACGAGAGAGAGAGAGAGACGGAGACAGAGACTGAGTCGGAGAGAGAGAGAGAGACAGGGGTATATAAGGGGAAGGGGGGAGCCGAGAGGGGAGGGGCAGGGAGTACAGATCAAGAGGCGGGAGGGGAGAGGAGGGGAAGAAAAGCGGGGAGGGTGGGAGGGAGGGGAGGGGGGGAGGCATAGAAGGATGGAGTGGCGCGGAGTGGGGTGGCGGAAAGGGGAAAGGCGGGGAGAGAAAGAGGGAGGGAGGCAGCGACGTGAAAGAAGGGAGGGAGGGGAAGGAGGAGAGAGGGGGGGGGGGGCAAGGCGGGGGGACGAGTTGGGGTAGGGGGACTGCCCCCGCGGTACGAAATCACATATGCACACGCATGTTCCGCTGGCACGCCGATGGAGTGCAATCGAGGGCAATAGTCTATCAGGACGAGATGCGTTCAAGGCAATCGTTCCGTTTTATGTAGAGGCGCGCCAAAGGTTGGCAACCCAAGCGAAAGCCGAACATAGTCGACCGCTGGGCTGCAAGGGTTGGGAGGTGCAGGAAGATGTAAGGCGAGCACACACAAACACACATATACGCTTTGTGTTCGCGGGCCGAGCCACGCCACTGGTCGAGTAGCAGGTTTGTGGGCGTGCGGGCGCGCGCTGGCACACACACACACTTTTGGCGGTCGCGGCCTCGCGCAGCGTCGAGGCGGAGTAAGGTCGGAGCCGGTGCGAGCGCGGCCATCCCATGCGCACACGCAGCAGCAACCACCCGGGCGTGGATGGCGCAAAGGTGACATGCCACCCGACGCTGGACTTCCCAAGCGGGAACGTAGCGCGAGGGCGTGGAGGATGGGCATCACCATCCAGGCGTGGATGGCGGGAAGGTGACGCGCCGCCCGACTCTGGACTTCCCGAGCGGGGACGTACCACGAGGACCTAGGACGGGAGAACACCAGCCGAACGACGGTGGTAGACTGGTGAGAATGGTGACACGCCGCGCAGGAGGACTGGAAGCCCCTGCGGGAAGAGGCGGCACCGTGAGGGGGGAAGGGGAGGACCATGGCAGGCCAGCAGGGAGCGCAGAAAGGCAAGGGCACAACATCCAGAGTGAGAGGAGAGGACGAAACCAAGGCGAGGCGGCACACACACACACACTTTGTTGTACGTCGGCGGCGAGGCATGGGTATATTGCGCCAGCGGTCCAGCAAGTCGGGGCTACCGAAGAGCGAATTGCCCACCCAGCATGCAAGCGGGGAGACTGGGACAGACAGAGCGGCCGCGGAGGCGGAGGGAGGAGGGGGCACACACACACACACACACTTACACTTACACTTTCACTTACACTTACACTTACACCTATACCTACACTTACACACACACGCACGCACGCACGCACGCACGCACGCACGCACGCACGCACGCACACACACACACACACACACACACACACACACACACACACACACACACACACACACACACACACACACACACACACACACACACACACACACACACACACACGTACACACGTACACACACCCACACACACACACAAACACACACACACACACACGCACACACACGCACACACACATGTTTTAAAGCCAGCGGCGCAGAGGAGCCTCAAGCGCGGTCGGCAGATGCAGGTGCCAATTGCGAACGAACTTAGTCGAACGCGCCGAGATGGAAGAGTACAGCCACGGCCATGCAGATTGGTGGTGGTGGCGAAAAGATAGGGCACTGCAAAGCCAAAGTGCAGCGGCCAAGCGTCCCGCAGAGCGTAGCTCGACGCCAGGAGTTGAAGCGCGGGCAGCAGCCTGGTGCTAATTATGCAGCGGCCAATCATCCCGCGGAGCGTGGCTCGACGCCAGGAGTTGGCACACACACACACACACGATCCAAGTCGTTTCGACGAAGCACGTGCAAACCCACCCGACTGCAGCCACGCCAGGCGCAGGGAGAGGGGGGACAGAGTTTGGCCGAGCCCTCAAGCGGCAGGCGGTGGCGGGCAGCGGCAGGCGGGGGGCGGCGTCTCCCAGAGCAAAACAGTGCAAGGACGAGCCTCATCGGTGTCGTCGTCCTCCGAATCGTGTAGGCTTCCCGAGGGCGCAGGATACCCCCAAGGGTTCCAGACCTCATCCCGCCTCCGCCCAAAGCATGCAGCACACTCGATGGAACGAGAGGCTCCCCACCTCCTGGCAGCTGGAGGCCCAGACATGCGACGTCCTGTTTGTTTCAGCACGGCGCCCCAGAAGTCCCGACCCATTCCCCCAGGACGGGCTGTTCATGCCGAGTCGTTTTTTTTTTGGCGGCCCCAAGGCCCGGCGAGGGCCCCCAGGGCCCGAAAATAACGAGAAAACGCCCGCCCGAATCTTTCTCGCAACACAATCATGCCTAAAAGGGCTTAGAGCAGCTGCAGAGCTCTCAGTCACAGCAGTCGACTCGCAAGCACGAGCCCCCTCCTCCTCTTCCTCTTTCTCCTCCTCCTCATCATCATAATCATTCTCAGCATCATCATCACCATCACCACCATCATCATCATCATCAGCAGCATCATAATCATCATCATCATCATCATCATCATCATCATCATTCCTCCTCGTGCTCATCCTTCTCCCCCTCCTCATTATCCTCCTCCTCCTCCTCCTGCTCCTCCTCCACCTCCTCCTCATCCTCCTTATCCTCTTCCTCCTCCTCCTCCTCCTCCTCCTCCTCCTCCTCCTCCTCCTCCTCCTGCTCCTCCTCATTTTCCTCATTCCTCCTTCTCCTGCTCCTCCTCCTCCTCCTTTTCCTCCTCCTCCTCTTTCTTTTCCTGCTTATCCTCCTCATCTTCCTCCTCCTCCTCCTCCTTCTCCTCCTCTTCATCCTCCTCCCACTATGGAGGAATAGGGAACCAGGAACCTGGGAACCAGGAGCCCGGGGACCGGGAACCCGGATACAAGATTTTGGAACCGGGAACCAGGAACGGGGAACCGGGAACCGGGAACCGGGAACGGGGAACCGGAAGCCGGCAACCAGGAAGCGGGAACCGGGAATTTGAACCGAGAACAAGGAATTGAGAGTTTGGAATTGATAACCCGTAGTTGGGATTTGGAAGCCGGGAACTGGGAAAAAGGAGCAGGGAGCCGAAAATTGGGAACCGGCAACTCAGGCCCCAGGACATTGTTCAGGAAATGAGAAGCCGAGAGAGAGAGAGAGAAAAAAAAAACAAAAAAAAGAAGGAGTGAGGTATCAACTACATGTATGTACAAAGTTACAGACCGAACCGTATGTATAAGTACATGTGTTTATATATGGTGTTTGTAAATACGCATATACAAATATGTATGTATGTGCATATATATATACATATATATATGTGTATATATACATATGTGTATTTATATATATATATATATATATATCGCAGTAGAGCCGGCGGGAGGTAGAGATAATGGTAGGCTTCCACCTTTTCTATGTATGTGAGTACCGTGTTTGGCTCAGCGAACTATCTCAGAAACGTAAGCCAGAGAGAATCCCCAATCAGTGGATGTTTCGGAAATTCGTGGTATGGATTGTTGTATCGATTGTGAGATCGATGATGAGACCGATTGTGGAAGCGATAATAAGGACGACAATAAGGTCGATCGTGAGACCGATCGTGAAGTCGATTCAATGAGATCGATTCAGTGAGATCGCTTGTGACATCGCTCGTGTGATCCATAGTGGGATCGATTGTGAGATCAGTAGAGAGGTTGGTAGTGAGATCGATGGTGAGACCGATCGATAAGGAGATCGACCAAGAACCCGGAAACCAGGGAACCCCGCCGCCCATCGAAATCGGTCCGGAACCAGCAAGTGCGAACCTGGGAGACCACAGCCGGGAACCCGGGAGCCTGGCCGCCTTCGGAAATCGGCCTGGCACTTTCGCCAAATCTTTCAATCTCCGCCAGGACCCTTCAGTGCAAGCACCGATTGGGAAATTTGATGGATAATGATGGATTCAGCATAGCTATATTGGCATAGGCATATAGATGCATATATATATATATATATACATATACATATATATACATATACAAATATATATATATATATATATGTGTATATATATG